TTTTTCCTTTCTTTCGGGATTTCTCCAGGATTTTTGAGGATTTTCTTTTACTAGATTTTCTTTTATTTGAGTCTTTATCGTTGATTCTCTCGAATTTTCTATCATGAGTCGTTGTTACACTCTTCTTCGGATTTCTTGGATGACGTTATTTTTCGAACTTTGCTTTTGAGATGCATTTAGACTTGCTATATTTGAGGAACATCGGATCTCAAGGGCGTACATGTTTGCTTTACATTTTACAGTACTTTACTTTCCTGTTCCTACCTGCTACTGTACTGTATAACATGTCATTTTTTTTTCTGTTTTTTTTTTTCTGTTTTCTACCTCACACTCTCCGATACAAAATTATTTTGAAAAGTGTTATATCACTTTTGTTCCTACCTGCTACCGTACCGTACAACATGTTATATTATTCATGTTTCTACTTGCTACTGTTCTTCCTGTATAGCATGTTATACTGTTCCTGTTTCACGTGCATTCTACTGTTTGCTCCTGCATTGCACACTTTATATTATATAACTTCAAGCATGTTTCCTTTCTATATAGGATGTTTAGAGGACTACAACTATAGGACCGTTTGATTTTACACTATAACTGGACACCCTAGAAAACTTAAACTCGTCACGTCGGTGAGCTTGGAGCTAGCGCGGTGGGCAGCATGACCATTTTCAACAGCAGAACATGTCTTCCCCAGTAAAATCATTTCTTTCCTAGAAATTAAATAATAAGCCATAGGATTTCGAGGTCGTTTGCCTAGCGTCTGTTGTACGATTTAAGCCCTAACTCGTTCTAGGTACTGAGGTTGTCGTCCGATACGATGTAAACCCTCATATCTTTCAGGCGATTTGTGTGACCATGTCACGCAAATATAAGCTCTAATTAAATAAAATTGGCAGGATTGAACTTTTTAATAATTTATTCTCGAAATTGAAGCCCAACCATAGGATAAACTGGGAAGTCACCGAGGTTCGCCTCCGGGTCTGTGGCCTCCCCTAGTTTCTCTTCATTCGGATTCCTCAACAATGTTCCAGATTTAATGTTTCAGATTCGAGTCTTTCCCCTTTCACATATCTTCGTCCGATTTTGTTGAAAAATTCTATCCTTTTGACTGCTTTGAAGATAGTATTCCCTGATTTTATCGAGAGTTTTCTTAGGTGACTTCGGTCATTTAAGATGTAATTAACTATGGAGGCTTGCCTTTATAGGAAGCTTTTCCGAACCCAGCCTAAAATAAACCATATTTAATTCTTTGTATTAAATATGGAAACTTGTCGGCAAATAAGACGGTTTCGCAGACCAAACGAATGTCATATATTTCTTAGTTTATTTGATCGAGTCTCATCCTCAAGTCTTGTGTTTATCCCTCGGGATAGATACAGGATTTGAGGTAGAGCGCTCTTTCATTTAAACTGTAAAAAATATGAGGTCAGTTTGATTTCATATTTTTTTTAAAATTTATACATATGTATATAAATTAAACGTTCTTCCGGAGCGGGGAATGAGATTTCAATTCCGGCGACCGACAGCTTCTTACGGGAAACACCCCACGACTCTTTAGTGCCGACAGTTGCGGGACTTAGAAAGGGGTGTTGATGTACTTGTTACCACTCCAGGCCGATTGGTTGACTTGCTTGAAAGGACTAGAGAGTCATTATCAATGATCATGTATTTAGCATTAGATGAAGCTGATGGAATGCTTGATATAGGGTATGAGACATAAATCAAAAGATTGTGGAGCAAATGAACATGCCTCGCCTGTTACCTACCTATTTTGGACTTCAAAAGGATCGCAAGAAGGACATCCAAGCAAATAGCCTCCAAAATTCCTTCTCCTTTTGAATTTGGCCATAAGCCCAATGCAAGCTTAGAGTTAGAATTCTACAGAGACCAATTTTTTTCTGCAACAAACCCTCACCAGATCATTTCCTATAACAAACCCTTCTCCAAAGTTTTTCCTCGCAGCGGGCCCACCTCCGAAGCTTGTCCTTGCAGCGGGCCCACCTCAGAAGCTTTTCCCTGCAGTTGACCCTCGTTCGAAGTTTTTCTCT